TGTATAAGAGACAGCCATGGAATTTCGCAAATTTAGTAAAAAAATTTTAGATTTGATGCATCTCCTTTTTGCATCCGTGCAGCTTTGTAAAGAATCAGTAAGTCATTTAATGAATTATGGATTTCGAAAGTAGAGACTTTAAACTGTGAAATGCTTTTCTGATTATTATGTTACGATAATTAAAAAAATTATTGTAACATAATGATCAAAAAAGCATTTCACAGTTTAAAGTCTCTACTTTCGAAATCCATAATTCATTAAATGACTTACTGATTCTTTACAAAGCTGCACAGATGCAAAAAGGAGATGCATCAAATCTAAAATTTTTTTACTAAATTTGCGAAATTCCATGGAGTGAAATAAAAGTCGCATACAAATGCGATTTACAGCGTTTGAAAGCATGAATCTTTATCTTTAATTTGCGCACTCGATCAACGTGCGATTTTTTTTCACCGAGTTACTCAACATTGAAGTAAAAATAACAATTCTTGCTTTCGTATTGAATAACTTTCAGTGTGATTCAATGTTGTACCAATTTCAAAATCTAAAGGACAAAAGCACAAGCAAAATTTCATATTAAATGTATAATTGTATAAATGTTGTCTTATACTAAACAGTTTCTCGTCATCGCTGTAATGATTGCCATCTCAATCGGTCCTGAGCTTCAACATCGCCCTAGTATGTATATAGTGGCACAAATGCTCTGGATATTTTAGGATATAACATAATCTTTGCGAGACTTGTTGCTGTTGTAGCATCAATTAGTTTCACCCACTGTCACTATCGTCGGATTCGCATCAAGCTTTGTAATTAGTTATGAGTTCCGCAGCTTGGGACTTGCACTGATGAAATTTCCTCAATTGTGATTAGATCTGCTTCAATAACAGTAGTTGGACCATCTGCTTATTTCGCGAACAAGCAAAATACGATCTATTGCAGGTTTTGCAGAGGATGTTGGGCTCATCGCGAATAATGGCTTTTGATATCCGCAAGTAATTCGAGGAAAACAGAATAAAAAATTTCTTATAATTGTGTAGAAAACTCAAGAACTGTATATTTTTCTTGGAAACATTTATTTTAATAAGCAAACTAAAACGAATGTGTTAAACTTGTTATTAAACTTTAATTTATTAAAACATTACGGAGTTATTAAGAACTTTCTATTTAAATGTTTTGAGACATATATAATTAGATTTAGATAATATTAACAAACTTTAATATTTTTTAGTTATCTTTATTTATTTACCGAAATTTTAATATAAATTTTTAGCAAAATATTTGTAAACAATTTAAAATTAAATTAATGGAAACAGGACCAATTACAGATTGGCCTTGTTTTAGCAGTGCAGTAATTGCCATCTGCAGATTCCGCGGTTGAAATCCAATCTATTGCAGGTTTTGCAGCAGCCAAGGTTAGCCCCCTATAGTCTTATGATAACTGCAAGTAATTTGAGATATTATTTTTTAGGAACTTATTGCTATAGCTAATACACTTCTCAACAAAATTAAAGCATCAGTTACTCTACCCTCCAAAAATAGGCAAAATTCAAGGTGTCTCTTATACACATCT